TGATATGGTTTTGGTGTAAACTCGTTGATCTGTTGCTCATTGATGTATATTTGCAGGTGAACAAAGTTCTATTTTTATTTGCTTAGCATAAATCAGAAGAATCGAAAAGCACTGATCGAGATGGCCGATGATGGAGTGAATCCGAAGGCCTATCCCTTGGCAGATACAGCACTTTCACAGAAGATACTCGACTTGATACAGCAAGCGCTCAACTACAAACAACTCAGAAAGGGTGCAAATGAAGTCACAAAAACACTGAATAGAGGCATCGCTGAGGTATTGCATACATTTTCACTTAATGAAACTGATGAAGTTTCGTTTGTTATTGTAACTGAATGATTTCATTCGGTAGATTTCTTCATACACTAATCGATTTTCGAGATTATGTTATGGATGATTTCCCTTTTTTTAGGTCATTGTGATGGCGGCCGATGCAGAGCCCCTTGAAATATTGCTTCATTTACCGTTGCTTTGTGAAGATAAAAATGTGCCGTACGTGTTTGTTCGTAGCAAAGTTAGTTCATTTTCAGAATTTCAGTGTTGTTGTATTGCTTCAGTGATTTGTTGTATCAATGAAACTTTATTATGTAAATGTGAATACTGATGATGTCAGTAAATTCCTCAGCATTGCATGTTTTTTTTTTCATAAATAATCAGCCATATTCCCCAAAATACCTGCTCGTTCATATTCAGGCAGCGTTGGGACGTGCATGCGGTGTCACACGACCAGTGATAGCTGCGTCGATTACTCAGAATGAGGGATCTCAATTGAAGAGTCAAATCCAAAAAATTCGTGAAGATGTCGAAAAACTTCTCATTTAATCAGCATCAAAACGACGCCACGTTTATGATNTTAAAATCTATGCGACGGTTCTGCGTTGATGTTATTGTTGAGTTCAGTATTGTATCAATTTATACTTGCATAAGATCATAACTTATAATTGAAATGCTACTAAAGACAGTAATATTTTTTCATCGGTAAATTAATTCAGCTAATATGGCATGAAATTTGCCTTGGATTTCCAAAGTATTGTTTAGTTATCTTTCAGTCGTAATTTTCAGTTTGATGTTTGTGGGTTATGTTGAAAATTGTTAACTTTGTTTTGAAAGGTTGCATTGATAGCGTGGCATGTTACCTCGTTTATGACGTTATGTTTGGATGTTACTTGTTATTGTTTATTCGTTACTTCTTCGTTTGACTGTTGTTTTGCATAAAATTTTATTTCACCTATTCAATAAACATCCTCTGCGAGTTTTACATTCTATAAAGACAGTTATTTTTCAAAAATTTGTATCTCTACCTGATATTCGTATGCTGGTTTTTCAAATGCAGCAATAAGAAAGCTTAATTGGAACCGAGTGGTCAGTGGTCAATTTCTCAATAACAATTATGGCATGCTACCGTTGGTCTCAATTACGTCGTGGTAGTTGAAGTAGAGTGTTTCGACTTTCGTCTATGCGAAAACCATAGCCAGAGAAGATTAATCAAATCACAGTTGTTAAGGTGTTTATAAGATGTCAAATAATATCAACTAGTCGTTCACGATGCCAGCTGCGAAATTCAAGTTTATCGTTTCATCATCGGACTCGTTGCAAGGGTTCGAGGCTGAGAATCTTTTAAGTGATGGTCGTGCACGTACAAAGTGGAAGGGTAAAGCAGGTACTCGGATAAAGTCATTGCTTGTGAAAATGTCTGAATCAGTCATATTATGTGCTATTTGAAAACGTATTAGATGATGACTGTTGTGTACTAAAAACTTTCAAATTAGTATTCTGCTAACGCTAGTAGCAGTTCTTAAAGCTGTTGTAAAATTCATGTAAGGAATACATAGGTGAATTTAATGTCATCTTTGAAGCAAGGTTGATCGGAGAGAATGAATGCATTGAAAGTAGTCAACTTCTCAACAACATCTTTCAAAATCGTAAAAGTCAGTGAGAAGTAACAGAATGAATTTGAGGTGTTCCCATGAATAGTGTTATTCTTCAAATGGATCGTGAGCACCTGATAAGTTCGATCGATGTCGGTAATGAATCGAGTGCATTGATTGAGATTCTCGTTGCGAAGTCTTGCGAATACCAGCCCATTTATCACGTTTGTTTTATGATCACTTCTAATGGAATCGTTTGGTTCAGTTCAGTGTGGTTCTCAACCTTCTTCGCCACTCGCACCACGTGTTGGCTACAGTCAGAATTTATTGACTGGAGTCAGATGAATGAAACCGCATCTACAGTGACCACTATTTTCATTGAGTTGGTTGTTGATTCGTTTTAACTAGTCGTTATTTGTAGACAATAGTACCATCGTCAAGTTTTATGAATCCAATCGAAAGTCGATCGTCGAAGAACTGCAATCGTGTTCGAATGTTTAGCAGTTTCGATATGATACCAGCTGTGAGTAAGCAAAAGTGGGATCTCATCAAAGTAATCATTCGAATACTTCACTTATTTTTGCATTCGGTGTCGACATTTCATTCCTTTAATAACT